GTGATGGAATAGGGGTATCCCCCCAATGCATGAACACACATAATGCACGACGTCCCCAATATTTCTACTTTTATCATTAATGAATATAACCCCGCTATCATCTTTCATGACATGTCATTTTTCATTTTTCAGTCTACGTATCATACATAATCCTAACGGGTTACATTTCATTTCATGTATCGTGATATCATGCCATCATAACATGCTATATATATACAATTTAGAAAACATAGCATAACACTCCATACTTTTAACATGTCGTTTCATAACGTGCAATTCACACAACAATTACCTCAATGATCACACAAAACAATCTAAAAATAACATATCACATCACAATATATCGTAAACACTTCATGGTCATATTGTTCCCTAACTTATGTTAGCCTTAACGTTTTTATAACTATCACAGTCATATTGTTACATGAATGTACCTTAGTCATATCATCACAGGAACGTATCCTAACGCTATCGTTCTATCAATCTATCACAAACCTATCCCTTTCTACCCATATCCTAACCATATTCTTTCATCAATCTCCCCTATCCATAGCACTCATGTATGTAATCTAACCCTAATCTTTCATGAACATATCTTACTCCTATCGTTAGATTTCGTATTGTGCATCGTTCTCGTATCCTATCTCAAACATATCCTTGAACACATCGTACCATAATTATTATCATACAATTCACATATTATATCATAACATAAACATAATATAAGCATACCGATTCACAGATAATTCATACATATCGGCATATATGACACGTGCAGAACCACGGGGAACGTGTCAACATCAAATATAACTATGCCGATAGTAAAGCCACTTACCTGGCTAGCTTAAGTCGTTGTCACGAATATATTTTTAATGAAAGTTCGATTCCATCATTTGAAATCTGAGTCAACCTATGTGAGTCCATAACATCAGTTTCAAGTTTGAACTCTACAAAATTATTTCTCTAATTTACATTAGTTCATTGTTAAAAGTCTTGAAATGTTATATATCTATAATTATATTTTCATTAAAAATCTTATTTTCCATGGTTACTGTTCCATAAAAGAATAGATACACATATTTCAAGTTATCCTGGGCTTTACTACTCTCTGTATTTACCTTTCTCTCTATCTTTACTTTGTGGTTTTTAATTCCTTAATTTTTTTATCCCTTTTAATTCTTTTCTCATGTATTCGAAATTTCTAGTAGATCTCTATTTCCAAATCTTTCCTACCTGTTCACAAATTTTCTTGTCATTCTATTTTTAATCTATTAATTTGGCTACTGATATAAATTTATCTAATAGGATGGGTTGAGGAGAGATAATGGGAGAGATGAGATGTTAGTGGAGAGAAGTGAGGAAAAGTTGTTATTTATTTATTATTATTATTCTTATTTTAACTCTTTTTTTATAATTATTTTTATTTGTTTATTTCTTTTATGTATTTTTGGGCTATTACAAGTGTAATACTTCAAAAACAAAAACAAAAAAAAAGTTGAAAATAAGAGGGGTTACATTGGTTGGTCATTAGAGCGATCCCTAGAGAAGAGTTGGTTTAATTCTACGTCCACAGAAAACCCAAAATATAGACCGAGCTTGACATAAATGTTTGGTTGTTCTTGACTGTAATGTCTGATGGTCACTCAGCATCTTCGACACCGATTTCCGACGAGCACACAGTGATCCCAACGTCGACAACCTTACTTCTACTCGGTTCTTCCTCCGAAAACAATAATTTTAACGTTCCGAGAAACCCTCCAAAATACCGAATGAATCAACCCACTCGATTTACTTGTAAGGTGCTTTTTGTACTCCCCTACAAACTTAAAGATAACTCAAAATTAAGTAAAAATGTAAAGATTAGCCCAAGAACCACGAATTAAGAACTTAAACCAAATGTTTTTCTCGAGAATCACAAGTTATAAAATTAACCCACTCACAAGTTATAAAATTAACCCACTATATTCCCTCGATATGAAATTTTAATGGATGTCTAATACCATAAAATAAAGGTGTATGCAAAGTTTTACACACAGGAGCATATCTAAGCCCTAAACCAAAGATAAAAGGGAAAAATGACCAAAATGTCCCACTGATACTTGTGTATTCATGACCAAGATGGACTCCATATTACTAAAACATTTATATGAGGCATATTTATAAGATTATGTTCGACTACGCTTGATTTTAAAGCCATTGGAATATATTTAAGGCATAGATTAAGACTCGGATAGAAAAAACCAAAAAGACATAAAATTTTATACGTGGCTTATTTATGTTATTACGAATGACTATGCATAGTTTTAAAGGTAAAGATTATGTTTAAGGTATAATGTCACAACTGATATTATATTTTTCATGAAATTCAGTCATTATAGATTTATATATATATATATATAAAACAAAATAGGAAAATAAAAATTTTGTTCCATATTACTTCAAGCTGAAAAGTAGGGGGTTGGCCTCGGCTATAAACGGGAGGTCCCTCAATTCATTTTATCATTTTATTTCAACTGTTTGAAGCCAGTTGGAGAATACATTGTCGGACATCTCTAGGTCCGCATTTGTTAGGTTTAGTTAGCTTATATTATATATTAGGTGAGCTAATTCACATAGTAGAATGCTAATCTATTATTGTGGAACTCCTTAGGTAGAATTAAATTTCAAATAGAAGCTAGCATCAAAGGGTCGTAGTAGCTTCGGCCTAAGCCAACCAAGTAAGTAACCCTACCATCAGTTTGGTTATAATTGTATGCTGAATGATGACACGTGTCCGTGGCTTTGCACGTGTCATATACTCATATATGCAAACTATTATGATATGATATGTGTATGTGAATATTATGTTATATGTGATGAATTGATATGGTTGCGATATGATATGTTTGAAGAGATGCTCAAGTTATGTAATGTGATTGTTATGATACATGCATAATATATGAAATGATTGACATGAATGTATATGATATGATTGGCATGCAAAATGACGAATTAGCATGAGATACCACTCTGATATATGCCTGGAAGATACAATAAAAATGATATAATAAATGATAAGATATGAACGAAAATGCAAGAGGGGTTGTGATACATGATAATGAAAAAGAAAAAATGTTGGGACCTCATGCATTATTGTGTGTTCATGTTCAGAGGATACCCTTTCCTCTTTTACGATAGTACGGACAAGTATGCTACGAGGTAGAGAAATGATCATTATGTTTAACATAATACTGTCATGACGGCCTCTATTTCTAATGGGTTTCCGGCATCAACAACTACTAGAGAATGATTGTTCGACCACAAAGGGGCCTAGGAGGTGTGCAAACTGACTAGTGGGTCCATACTCATGTGTGTAGATCATGTGTAGTAAATTAAATACACATCCAATTGCTGGCTTATGATAGCCGTCGCAGGAACATAGGTTGATATGATAGGTCTCATTCATGATTTGTGTGTGCTTGCAATTAACCCAGTAGGGGGTTGCTTACTAAGTATTTCTTAAAATGATCAAGTCATGTATTACTCTTATTTTCAGGTAAAGGCAAGACTCCCTTATGTGGATGACGGTGGCATAGCAACCTCAGAGACCGTGACATATGCATATGGTAGTTGTACTTATTTTCTTAGACTTAGGTTAGAATAGACTATTTTAATTTTAATGCTTATTTATTCCATTTAGTACTTCATTGTGTTGTTTTAAAAATGTTTTCGAATGCATAAGTCCATGATAGTGTTTTAAGATGAAGTTTATGTTTTATTATAAAGTTTAAACGCTTATTTCCACACAAAATGATTACGATATGATGACGGAAGCCACTCTAGGTAAATAGAAATCTATTTTTCCATCCTATCTAATCACTATAAAAATAAAAATAAAAATAAATTATAATAATAATTAAAAAAAATGGCAACTACCTTTCACATCTCCTTCCCTCTTCCTAACCCTAACACCTCCTACAACAGCAAATCCTGTTAGAGAGAAAAAGAAAAAAAATATAATTCCTTCAAAAACAAATAAAAAAAAAGGTTTAAGGTGGAAGGAGAGATGTCACTTAGTTAGTTTTGGACAGGGATTATATGAAAAGAATTGTGTATGAGATTGGCTAAAAGTAACTATGAAAAGGAAACAAAAAGAGATAAAAAGGGGAAGATAGTGACTATAATTAAAAGAAAGAAAAAAAAAAGGAATACACAAGGAGAGAAAAGAAAATATATGGAACATGTATAAGTATAACACATGGACCAACGTAAATTAGAGAAATAATTTTGTACAAGTTTAAACTTCAAACTGATGTTATGGGTTCACATAGATTGACTTGGATTACAATGGACAGAATCAAACTTTCATTAAGGATAAATTTGTGACAATAATGTAAGCTAATTAGATAAGTGATATTACCATCGACATACTTATATTTGATACGTAAATTTAATGTGTGAATTGTTTATGAATCGATAAGACTATGATACCTTGTGTATGCATTATAAATATGTGAATGATATGATAACTCTTACGTTATAATATGTTCAATAGTATGTTTGAGATAGGATACGATAAAGATGCGATAAACGTAATATAATGATATGACTAAGATATGATTAATATAACGATATGGTTCTGTTATGTATAAAAAAGAGTATGATTATGATAGATTGATAGAACGATATGGTTAGGATACGTTCTTGTAAGAACATGCCTAATTGAAAAATTTAGTATCACTTAAGTTTTGGGATCAAACTCAAACTCAAATTCTTGTTTACCACCCATATTTTTCAAAATTAAGGTGTCTATTAGCCTTAGGGAAATAAATTAAACATATATGATGAAAGGGTCGAGGGCTAATTCGTCTGAAATAAAGCTGCCTAGAAAGATCAAACTCTACGTTCGAAATTGGCCACATCCACGCCAAATCGTATTTCCAAGTTTATTCATCTAGTTGGAGAGGAATATAAGGAGAAATACATCTAGATATGGAGGTCATTACATTAACCTACAAAATTTATCTAGCTAGAAGTGACCTCATTATGGCTTCAAAGTTTTCAGGGTCATAGACAAATAAATGGCCAACATTAGGAACCTCATGATACCGAATCCATGGAAGTTTTTGTACTACATAATGATTAAGTTCATTGCAGATGACACGGTCGGCACTACCTTGCCATAAATGAACAGACCCTTCCTTGAATTGATTGGTCAATTCCATGGGATCGAACTCCCAGTTTGCATAAGCAACCAGAACATCTCGGTGAAGAGATTCATATTCACCTTGTTGTATTATTTCTTCCTGAAAATGGTTGCACTCCCAATGTTAGAACATACAAATATGAACTAGCTTAGACATATGTTCTCCATCAAAAAGCCTTTTTGAGAATACATCTTACGGCTAATGACGGATAGTTAACGATAGCTCTGATGGATAGCTTTGTTAGAATATGTAATAATGAGGTCACTATTTTAGTAAATGATGCGGAGAAGGGTAGTGACATTGATGTTGAAGATCGTTGGGAGAGTAGTCTCACATCGGCTAATTAAGGAGTTGATCATGAGTTTAGAAGTAAAGTCTATTGGCATGAGGTGTTTTGGAAAAACCAAAAGCAAAACCACGAGAGCTTATGATCAAAGTGGACAATATCATACCATTGTGAAAAATCATGATTCCAAACGTGGTATCAGAGCCATGCATTTAACTTATCATGTCAATAGAATCCTCAAATGTCGAACAAAGAAGTTGTGAACCTTGAATGTTAAGTCAAAAGTGACTAAAGTGTCGAACAAATGGTGTATTTTGTTCGAGGGCTCCAAAGAAGGAGTCGAACCTCAATTAAGGGGAAGTTATTCGAGGGCAACATAGGCCTCTAGGGAGGCTCTATGGTGTACTTTGTTCGACGGGAGGATTGTTGAGAATCATTGGGAGAGGAGTCCCACATCGGCTAATTAAGGGGTTGATCATGGATTTATAAGTAAATAATACATCTCCATTGGTATGAGGCCTTTTGGGGAAACCAAAAGAAAAGGCCACGAGAGCTTATGCTCAAAAGAACAATATCATACCATTATGGAGAGTCTTAGTTCTTAATTAGGTTCATATTAGCAAGAACAACGGCTTCTTTTGAAACCAAAAGAAAAAACGCGAGAATTACCTGATTGTTATTTGGAGTGTCTATTATTTTCTTTAACAACTCTAAATCGTAATCAATGAACATGCCTTCACTGAACATTGATGGGAACCATTTCTGCTTGGTCCACCAATAGTATATCCAAGGTGTGTAATGCGCAATTCCATATGTGAACTGGAATAATAGAGGAAGCTTCCTAAATGACTGTTTTGCTAGAGCCGATGGAATGGAAGGCCACCAATAATTCACGAAAGGAACTACCAGGCAAGCTCCTACGAGTCTGTAAATTATATAACCAATTAGCTCACCCAAAAACAATAATTCATGATCCTTTTGAAAACAACATATTAAAATACCTGTGTGGAATGTATTTTAGACAGCTCCAAATTGGGTACGCTCCCAATGAAAATCCGATTACGTAAAATTTGCTGTCGAGCTCTAATTTATCGGCTAATTCTTCAATGTCAAATGCTTCGGTCTTTGCGGAGCGTGATGGATATGGATCGCTCTCTCCGTAACCAGCTCGATCGTATAATATTATGCATGCGTTGAGCTCCTCCATAAGTTCCTATAACACAACATGATTGAATACAATTTTTTTAAAAAAGAATGAAAGTTGAAGAAGAAGAATAACAATGTCGTACTTGAGAAGCAGCTAAGTACATATGTCGGGAGTCATAATAGCCATGAGAAAGAATGATCTTGTGTTGAGCCTTTTCCTTAGGAACTCCGAACTCTCTGTAGGCCAAATGTCTTCCATCATTGAGTTTGACTCTACGCGAAGTCAGTGGAGGACCATTTGGGGATCCACATATCTTTGGAGGCGGCGGTTTCAGTGCTTGATAAACCCAGCCAACTAAACCGGCTGCAAAAGCTACCACTATTGGTGTAATCATTGTCTGAAAAAAAAAAAACGTTTAACATGGTTGGAGTCCCATATTGGCTAATTAAGAAAAAGATCATGGATATACAAGTAAAGGACGCTATCTCCATTGACATGGATTTATGAGAGAACCAAAAGCAAAAATATGATGAGAGCTTATGCTCAAATGGATAATATCGTACCAATGTAGAGGTTCATTGTTCTTATCAGTGGTATTAGATCCATTCTCTTGTCTTCAATTAGTCATGTTAAGAAAATCTTCAAGTGTCGAACAAAAAAGTTGTGAGTCTTGAAAGTGTAGTCACATTGACTCAGTGTCAAATAAAGAAGTTTCGAGTTGCAAAAGTATAGTCATAGTAAAGATCTATGGTACTCTACTCTAGGTAAGAAGAGTAGTCTAAGTAATATCAAACAAATAGATATGACTGGTTAAGAGGAGTCTCGATGTGTAATTTGTTCGAGGACTCTAGAGAAGAATGTCCCTTCAATATTTTCTTCGAAAAGAGGATTGTTTGAGAATCATTCAAGTCCAACATTGATTAATTATGGAGAAGTTCATTAGTATACAAGTAAGAAATCCTATCTCCATTAACATATTATATGTGTATAACAATGACCCATAATCAAAACGCTCAGAAAACTTAAATAATCAAAAGAAGAAAATGAATAAGATTAAAAAGGAATAAAAGGAGGGAATTGAAACGCACCCGGACGAAGTGAGGAACGTGGAAGGGCAGCGCGATCTGTGTGGAGTGACAACCAATGGTTTGGTTCCTTTATAGCCTGAATGGCATAATCCATATCATATTCTCCATTCATTACCAAGAACTCAATAGCAAATCCTAATAAAGGCAATTCCATGTATGCCAATTTAAGAGAGTAAAGTATATACTAAAAGTATATAAGCAATTAGTTACGTATTTATGCAAACAATATTTCTTTCCTCTAAGTGTTGTTTTCGTTACTTACCTTGGCGTTTGCCATTTATGGGAAAGGAAAACATTTATTTTGCATGTAACACATTTTTTGAAATCGGATTGGTATGTGATTTGTACCTATATTTCAACATGACCCTCAATTACGACCCATTGAAGATAATAATTGGAAAAGTAACGAGAACATTGAATTCAATAATAAATCATGTAAGATAAGTGTAATACTTCAAAAACAAAAACAAAAAAGAGTTGGTCAGTCATTAGACCCAAAATATAAATCGAGTTTGACATAAATACTTGGTGTCCTTGATTGTAATGTCTGACGGTCACGCAACGTCTTCGACACTAATTTTCGGCGAGCACACCGCGATTCCAATGTCGACAACGTTACTTCTACTCGGTTCTTCCTTCGAAAACCACGATTCTAACGTTCTGAGAAACCCTCCAAAATACCAAATGAATCGACCCACTCAATTTTCTTTCGAAGGCTATCGGTTTTCAGCTCTCTCAGACACACTTGAATGCGAAGATAAATTCGGGAGAAAATTGTTTCAAGGGTTGCAGCAAAGTTGTGCATGGAAGAATATAAAAGATTTGTGAACGTTTTTCATTAAAATAATAATTGTCTCGTCGGATTCACGTATATATCCCGACGAGAATAAATGCTCCTGTCATTTTTTGAAATAAAAATAAAATCTTAAAAATAAAGAAAATGTGAATCAATTCCTACACATTCATAATACGATTTTCAACAAGTTCAAGACCTTGAAAAGGCTTAAAAATGGCTAAAATATATTTACCAATTTGAGTTTTGATAGTTCCAAGGTCCAAAAAGGAACTTTGTTGAATGCCTCTAGATAAGGAGAATTTGAGGAAATTTGAAATCGGGCAAGTTGAATTTGGGGAGAAATCAATGATTTTGGTTCAAACCAATTTCTTTAATTTGGTGGTGACTAAAGGATAGATTTTTTTTCAATAAGGAAATTGGGGGATTAGGAGACCTAGAACGTCCTAACCATTTGCACAAAATTCGTCCTAGACCCAGGGACTCAAGATTTTGTCCCTCAAATTGGAGAGTGAGGCACATATTTGTTCCTTAAGGCCTATCTAGATAGTTCAAGGGGAAGAACAGAAAGATCTCTAGAAATACCTACACTGAGCAACCGAGGTCTCAAACCCAACTGAGCAAGATCTTTCCTTAAAAATTACTTGTAAGGTGTTTTTCGGGAGAATCACAAGTTATAAAGTTAACCTACTAAATGGCATTTCCTAACTATGAAATTTTAATGGATGCTTAATACCATAAAATAAGGTGTATGCAAAGTTTTACAAACCTAGGAGCATATATAAGCCCTGAACCAAACATAAGGAAAAAATGACCAAAATGACCCAATGCCAGTATGTACATGACCAAGATGGTCTCCAAATTACTAAAAATTTATATGAGCCCTATTTATAAGATTATGGATGACTACACTTGATTTTAAAGTCATTGGAGTATGTTTACTCGATAGAAAAAAACTAAAATATCTACTATGTTCTTATAATATTTGGATATAAAATTTTATATGAGACTTATTTATGCTATTATGAATGACAATGCATCGTTTAAAAGGTATTTGATTATGTTTAAGGTATAAACCAATATTAGAGTAGAAAATTAAAAAAAAAAAAAAAAAAAACCTAATGAATCTTGTATGAAAATTCATAGTTGTGACGAATTCCAAATGACATTATATTTTTCATGACACTCATTCATTATGGATTTATAATGTTTCTATAGGGTTAAGAACTAAATAAAGTAGGCTAGTTCCTAAAAATGCACACCCGTACGACTCTATTCAAACCTATCTTATCCTAAGTCACCCTAAATGTAATAACAACCAACAAAAAAAAATAAATAAATAAATAAAATTAGAAAACAAAATAGGAAAATGAAAATTTTCTCTCATATTACTTAAAGCTGAGAGGTTGATTTCTATTATAAAAGGGAGGTCCCTCGCTTTATTTTATCATCTAATTTCTACGGTTTGAAGCCAGTCTAAGAATACATTGTCTGACAACTCTAAGTTAGCATTTTATTAGGTTTGGTTAGATTATATTATATTAGGTGAGCTAATTCACATAGTAGAATGTCAATCTATCATCGTGGAACTCCTTAGGTATAATTAAATTTCAGATAGAAGCTAGCATCAAAGGGTCGTAGTAGCTTTATCCTAAGCCAACCAAGTAAGTAGCCCTACCATTGATTTGGTTATAATTGTATGCTGAATGATGAAATGTGCCCGTGGCTTCGCACGTGTCATATACTCATATAAACTATTATGATATGATATGTGTATCTGAATATTATGTTGTATGTGATGAATTGATATGGTTACAATGTAATATATTTGAAGACATGCTCAAGTTATGTTATGTGACTGTTATGATATATGATATGATATATGTATAATATATGATATGATTGACATGAATGATATATGATATGATTGACATGAATGATATATGATATGATTAGCATGCAAAATAACGAATTAGCATGAGATACAACACTGATATATGCCTGGAAGATACGATAAAAATGATATAATAAATGATAAGATATGAAGGAAAAAGCAAGAGGGGTTGTGATACATGATAACGAAAAAGAAAAAAATGTTGGGACCTCATGCATTGTTGTGTGTTCATGCATCGGAGGATACCCCTTACTCTATTACGATAGTACGAACGCGTATGTTACGAGGCAAGGAAATGATCATTATGTTTCATGTGTAGTAAATTAAATACACATCCAATTGTTGGCTTATGATAGTCGTCGTAGGAAAATAGGTAGATATAATAAGTCTCATTCATGAATTGTATGTGCTTGCAATTAACCCCAATAGGGGGTTGCTTACTGAATATTTCTTAAAATACTCAAATCATGTGTTACTCTTATTTTCAGGTAAAGCCAAGACTCCTCTATATGGCTGATGGTGGCATCGCAACCTAGGAGACCGTGACACATGCATATGGTAGTTGTACTTATTTTCTTAGACTTAGGTTAGAATAGACTGTTTTAATTTTAACGCTTATTCATTTCATTTACTATTTCGTTGTGTTGTTTTAAAAATATTTTCGAATGCGTAAGTCCATGACAGTATTTTAAGATGAAGTTTATGTTTTATTATAAAGTTTAAACGCTTATTTGTGCACAAAATGATTGCATTATTGTTGGGATTTATGCCCTAAAGCTTCGCAATTAATTATTTAGTTGTTAACAATAATCTACACTATTTTATTTGTAATTTAATTGTTATCCATTGTATGAAAATCCAAGGTTATTAATGTAATCTTGAACAGTATGTGGTTGACATACAAGAGGATCGTGTTCAAGTAATAACCTAAAGAGTCTATAGTATATGGATAAGGTTGGGTGCCTTATCCTGGTAACACTATTGATACGGTCCACTTTGTAATCGTTACAAATGATTTGATTCAAATCATTCATGTGGAGACATGTAAGTGGGGGTATCCTAGACAATGAGCTTATATAAGACTGAATCAAAAAATATTTATACAATGAGCTTATATAAGACTGAATCAAGAAATATTTAATCTCTCTTTATAAATCCGTTAATTAAGAAGATTAATATTTCACATGATGATCATATGCGACTCGATCTTAATCCTGAGTGAGTTATGAACTCCTTACTGTGAGAGCTTGTCTTTAATTTACATGGGTGAGAATGGCTCTTTTAGCCGATTCAATATGCCTACTATTTTGGGGACTGGACCAAATAGAGAGTTGGGGACATAATATCATGAGATAAATTCACTCCTTTAAGAAAAGTAGATGAGTTGTTCTCTTAAGTACTGATTTCGGGATTTGAACAATGAGGCCCCACCCTCTCATTGGTCCGAGAGGGACTTGGTTTTTGATTGAATCATAGACAAATTGTTCATTAGAGAATCAGTGATACTTTAGATGAAAGATGTAATTACAAGGGTAAAATGGACTTTTGACCCAGCTGTAATTATGAACAACTCGTGAAGGATTGACTAGCTTGTAATGGTTCTGTCAATGGACATAATTTGTCCTACAGTGCATAAGAGTGCAACTCTAGGTCTATAGTGTAGTGACCTATAGTTAATGAATGAAAATTGATTAACTAAAGAGTTTAATTAATTAATTTTATATTATTGGAGCTTATAATTAGTAGGTTCCTAAGGTCATCTTGCTAATTCATAGTAACACTAAAAAGTTCAATTTATTTGAAAGAAAATTTGAAGGGTTCAAATTCATATTTAATATATTTGATATATTAAATATAAAAGAGAAAATAAATTTAATTTGAGATGTTAAATTAATATTTAATATATTAGATATATTAAATAAATAGAGAAAATATATATAATGGAAGTGTTCAAATTAATATTTAATATATTAGATATGTTAAATATAAATGGAGAAAAATATATTAATTTGAAGGATTCAAATTATTATTTAATATATATATATATATATTTATTTATTTTATTTGATACAATTAAATATTAAATCAATTAATGTATTATGATACCTTAAATAAAAATATATTTGAAAGTTGAATTAGATTCAAATTAATTAAATATATATTATGATATTTTGTAATATCTAAATATGATTTGTATAAGATATTATTTTATAATATATTAAATATGCAAATATATTATTTGGCAAAGATTCTCCAAGAGTCCCCGTAAATAAGACCCTCAGGGTTGAATCAAAATATATCACTCTCTCCCACTTTCTCTCGAGAATGAAATTACATCTCCAAAAAATTCTCGAAACTATTCTTCTCCAATCCTTTAGGATTTTCATTCAAGAGGCTCCCACAAGCCTTGAACTTGTGTTCGAGTCATAGCAAGAAAGATCTCGTGGAATGTTGAAGAGCTTTTGCATGGTTGGAAATCTTTAAGGACTTGAAAGCTAGGGTTTCTACAAAGGTAGAGTTTTTACTCTCGTATTTATTACTTTTGTTTTAATTCATAATAAAAATCAAAACAGTTCCTAATGTTTTCGTT